AGCAGTCTTCTGGGGTTTTGGAACTGCTATGTGTCAGCGTGGTAGTTACGCAGGAGCAAATATATGTCAAATTTCATCCAGCTGTGTGTTTTATGTATTTTTTTTTTAAAGAGGTTAAAAAAGAGTACTTATTTTAAATGCTCACTTTCTCCGTCCCCTCTATGGCTAAGCTGTAACCTCTGTACCGTGTATTTCTACATCCATATTGCAGATCCTGAAAATCTACTCAGGCCTTAAATACATGTTCATAACTCCATTTCTTATTCCTATCCAAAAAACTTGTTTTCCTTTTAGAATTTGCAAGCCATCTAAGAATCTTCCTTCTCTGTAACCCCGAGTACATCTGATGGCCAAGTGCAGTTGATCAACTTCCTAAATATCCCTCCACTGTCTCTTCCACTCTTTCCCATCACTGCCTTTGTTTAGGCACCATAATTTCTGCTTGAGTTGCATCATCACCTCGGTGACAACAACACCTAAATTAGTGTTTAAATAACTGAGGACTGTAGCTTTGCCATGCTGACACATAAAACTGACCATCACATAGGCCTAGCATCTACTCCAGTGCCCCCATCTGCTCAATCTATGTTTGTGCAATGAAATGGCTCATTTCTAACCCCAGTACCATCGTGTTCCAGACAAGTCTTGGTGTCTGACCATGGGAAGCAAGTAGTTATCATGCATCCATTATGAGTACTGCAGTGCAGAAAGAGGGTGATTCCAGAAATCTATGATTCTGGGTTTTAATCTAGAGAGACAGAACACAGTCAGATGAGTACAAGACAACCTACAGGTAAGTTCCCACATGAATGTCTAAACCATCATCAGGTGCTTTTCATCTTCTTGTAATAATTTTTCTCAGGTTCATCTTTGTTTAAACGATGACAGTAGCCCCTCTGCTGGAGTCCCTGTCTCTCGCTCAGGCTCTCCCTGCTCCAGGTTCTCCTGTATCTGGGCTGCTGGTTGAATTGTCCTCAGATATTACTTTAGTCATGTCCCTCCCTGCTCAAGAACCACAAGAGCTCCTCATTAGCTGCCAAGTCAACTCTAAACTCCTCTGCCTAGCTTTCAGGACCTCCATGCTCTGACCCCTCCCAGGGTGATATGACAGCTGTCTTAACATTTTTGAAGGGCTGTCAGAGAGAAGGATTAGTCTGATTTGTGCTGCCCCAGCAAGCAGAAGTATTATCATAGGTGGAAATTACAAGAAAGATTTAAGTGCCTCGAAGTGTAAACATTTTCCTTTCTACTTAGTGTGTGAATGTGGGTGGCAGAGGTGGTGGTGGCAGTGGTGGCAATGTATGGAATACTGTGTGTGACTCTGACAGAACTTGTTCTCCACTTACCAGTCTAAGGTTCCACGAAATAACAAAATACTGCACATCCAGTATTTTGATGTATATGTTGTTTTTTTATGTATAATTTTTTTTGTAATTTTCAAGAATGAGATCTCACTGTAGCCAATTTCTTTCACATAACAGAATACAGTGTCTATCTTTCCACATCATTAATTTTCTTCCATCACCTCAGTGTAAATGGCCATGCCACATTTCATTGTATGAATGTTTGATAATATCAGTATCTTATTCAGTAAGTCCCCTGTGGCACTTTATTTTTATTTTTATTTTTTGAGACAGAGTCTTGATCTGTCACCGAGGCTGGAGTGCAGTGGCACCATCTTGGCCTACTACAACCTCTGCCTCCTAGGTTCGAGCGATTCCTGTGCTTCAGCCTCCCGAGTAGCTGGGACTACAGGTGCATGCCACCACCCTCAGCTAATTTTTGTATATTTAGTAGAGATGGGGTTTCACTATGTTGGCCAGACTGGTCTCGAACTCCTGGGCTTAAGTGATCTGCCTGCCTCAGCCTCCCAAAGTGCTGGGATTACAGGCTTGAGCCACCATGCCCGGCCCCCTTGGCACCTTTATAATAATTTATTATCAGAAACATTGCTATGGGTAGGTAGACTCTGAATGATCAAAATGAGAGTAGATAGATTGGTGGAGAGAGAAAGTTCAGAGCGCTGAGACAGCCTGGCACCACATCCTGACAGGCACTGAAGAGATATGGCCTGACGACCAGGATACAGGTTAGAGGATAGTGGGGCTGAGATTGTCCCTGAGAACATCTAGGGCTAGGAGGCTTCTTAGAGGTCATCTTGCTTTGCATCCCTCCGGGAGCTTGACTTCACTGTATAGAATCCCTGGCAGGACTGACCAGCCCCAGCTCCTGTATTTGAGAGCTTGCTGCTGTGCAAGGCTGTCCGTATCATTGCTGCAAAGCTCTGTTAGAAGGTCAAGTTCTCTGGGTAATGGGATTCGAAGTATTTTCTTTAATGCTTCTTAAATTTTATAAAATTAGCATGATTCAACTTTTATTGGCTTTTACAAAAGTATTTTTTAATTCTGTTCATCAAAGCCACCTTCTTCTCTGTTTACTCTGACCTACACTTATCTTTCCTGTCTCTAAATCTCATTGTTAATTTCTGTATAATCCAGTACATGTCTATATACTGTCTTGTGTTATTACAAGTTTGTTTCACTCATGTTGGTCTCAGCTGTCCAGTGAAGAACATTTTCCTCTGGCCAAATTGTGACTTATTTTCTCATTTTCCCTGACACATAGCACTGTGCAGGAATTGGCCACTTATGATGGCTGGGTACTGGATTCTCCAGGTGTCACATAAATTATCTGGCATTCCACAGAGGCTCTGGACCTGGGGATGCCCCCAAACACCCACAGTTCTCCTGGACCTGCTGAGCCCCTTGGAAATGACCCAGGTATCCAGTCACTGGCATTGCTAATGTTCAACCTGTCACATTATTCTGCCTCTATCTCCTCTTTGACCTTTAGTGACTGGGCCAAGAGACCTGCAGAACCTAATGTCCTGTCCAGATTCCAGATTAAATGTCCTCCAGTAGCTACAGCACAATCAGAGGCTAGAAGATCACTTTTGTATTCTTTTCTCATTATTTGTGAACAGCATTAGAGCAGAGGTGGTCTCTAGCGGCTACCAATCTTTAAGAAATTACCCCGCGTTCTATTCTTGAAAAATGAGCCTTATTGCCATCGTGTCTACTGTGTGCCAGATACCATGCCAGACAGCTCTGTAAAGCTGACTGCAGGGACTAGGTCCTGACAGCCATCCCTTTGCTCTCTTGCTCAGTCCATACTGGGAGGCAGCTACTCAATTACATTTTTACTAGCAAACCCTCTGAAATGACCTCTACAATGATATCATCACACTCTTTTTACTCAGAAACCACTGCTTAGCACTATTAACATCTCTCCTCTCCATGCTAAATCAGAGGGGCAGGATAGCCTACTTAAATAAAGCTTAGAACAGGAGACCCTGCTGGTTTCTTGACAGTTTTTTTCAAGTGCATTCAGACATGATTCTCCATAGATATTGAAGGGCTGTCAGGTGGGAGGAGGACAAGATCTACTTTGTGACCGAATCCTATTGCTACTACAATCCTAACATGGCTCCCGGCTCCATGCCACAGTCCTGCTTCAGACCACCATGCACTTGCCTGGATTACCGCAGCAGCCTCCTAACCAGTCGGCCTGCCTGTCCAGTCTTGCTCCTCTAATCCTTTCTCCAGAGAGCCTAAGTGATCTGTTTAAATTGTAAATCTGATCACACCACACCTCTGCTTAAAACTCCATAATGCTTTTGTATGGCCTTCAGGATAAACCTACATTCCACAGCATTGCTTTGAAGACCCAGTCTCGGTTTGGCTCTCAGGCTGCATGTCTTGCCCAGACTGTTTCAGTCCTACCAAACCACTTGCACACTGAATCCCAAATACTTTTTAATTTTCTTACCTCTAGGTCTTTGCCTAGAACATAACCCCTCCCCTGTTCACCAAGTTAGCTCATTTGCCTTCCAGGTGTTACCTCAGATGTCACTTCCTCCAAAAGTCTACCCTGGTCACCCAAGGCTATGCTGGGTATCCTTCTGTCTTCTGAGTATTCTATCTTCTCTCCTGTCATTTTATCTTGTGATTGCCTGTTTCCATGTATCTTCCCCTCCAGACAATAAGCTCCTTGAGGGCTGGGATTGTTTTATCTATCATTGTATTTCCAACACCAGTGCTTGGCACAGAGACACTCAATAGTTAATGAATGAATGACAGATGAGCTAACAAGAATAGGTGGAAGACTCAGAGGGGTACATTTCTATGTACTGAAGAACTTGCTAATAACTAGTGATACTAAAAAAAAAAAGAACACACTGACCTACCAAGCACAGGGAAAGCCCCATCTCTGAAAAGTCTCCAAGCAGAGACCAGCTGGTCATCAGGGAGCTTCCTCAGTAGATGGCAGTAGATGTGAGATGCCCTCCACTCATTTCCCATCTGTAGGAAGCCATGCTTAGATTCACTTGTGAGGTCAAAAGACTTGGGCTGGGGTCCCAGTTCTGCACTGACTATGAGGCTTTGGACCAGTCATAGCCTCTGAGCTTTCTTGCTTGTGAAATAGAAATGACACCTGCACTGCCTACTTCAGAGATTTTTGAGGTTCGAATGAGATCTCACATGCTCAAGTACTCTGTGAAAGCCTTAAAATACAATGAAATGTATTATTTACCATGTAATCTTCAGGACTTGCAGCCTCACTGAATAATTTGAGTTTCACAACTAAAATGGAAACCAAGTGCCACATGTAAAGCACTGCTGCAGGGAGAGCTGCGAATTAGAGCAGAGACCTGCCTCTTCTGCGCTGCACTACCGCCCTAGGGAAGATAGTGGACATCCGGAGCATCTGGTTGGTTGGAGTCTGTCAAGGGCTTGTTGTTCTAGCCATCAGAGAGATTGCTTGGGGCCTACTACTAATGTCTTAAATTGTCATGAAAATCAGCAGAAAACAAAAACTACAGACATACTCAATAAACCTTTCCTTTGGGTCCCTTGATTTATGCTTAAAGGAAAGTCAAGAACAATTAACAGCATTTCACTTCCCCTTTAGCAAGACAAACCCAATGAAACCATTAACCATTTAATTTAAAGGCTTTTTATTAGGAACCAGGGGAATGAGCTGCTTATCCCTCTATAACAGTCTAGAGCAGGTCGTCAGGCCCAGGATGGAGAGAGGTTATCAAAGGTGCTGTGGTGTGCTTTGCTGCACGTGCTTAGGGCCTGGAAGGAAAGGTGGTGGCAACAGAGGTTGGCAGGAACTGGTGTTAGTCGAAACACCAAAATCCTGGGGGACAGCCCCTCTACCTTCCTTCTAACTCCACTTGAGGCGGGAGCATTCCAGGAGACAGAGAATGTGAGCAGGATGCAGCAGTGTCATCTGAACCCCTGGCTTCGTTCAGTGCTACTTCACTTGCCGGCCCTCCACTCTTCTTGCCGTTTAGTGATTAGGTATTTGAAGAACTCATACACAGACCACGCTATGGCTGTGGAGGGGATCTGGTAAATTACTCTAGCTTGCACCCCTCGGAAGTAGGCGGTCACCCCACCTACTTGATATACCGTCCTGAAGGCACTAGCCATGCCTGTGATATGTCCTGTAATGTGTGAGTTCAAAGCCAAGGACTCCTGGGTGTTGAGCAGTGTTTTGCAAACGTCCAGTGGGGTTGTGGCTGCGGCAGCTACAGCTCCTGCGCAAGCTCCAGAGAGGACATGGGAGCTTGGGTTGTACCGTCTCTGGGGGTTAAAGTGCTCCTGCAGGAATTCATAGGTCATGAAGTGAATGGCTTGGAAGGGAACGTTCATGGTCAGCTGGGTGGTGTAGCTGCGGTAGAAGGCCCCGGCCCCTTCATTTTGCCACACTGCCCGTACACAGTCTGTCACCCGGTGGTATGGTGAGTTGTACATCTGCATCCTCTGCTTGACCACTAGTAGTGCCATCATCAAGGAAGGAAATGGTGACAGCGGTCAACCAGTGATGGAGAGTATCCAGATTCAGAGTCCCAAGTCAGCAGATCAGCCAATGGAATAGAGAGAGAAAAAAGTATGAGTGAGCTGCTGGCTAACCTGAGAAGTCAGCTTCCCTTTTTTGAGGGGAGGGAGTAGGCAGCGGGTTGGTAACAAGTCAAAAAACAATAAACCCACTTCCATCAGGACTTCTGTAAAGCCAGCAAATTCACACACAGGACATATGTATGGTTTGGGAGCTCCAGAGAGTCTTCTTGAACTAAGTACCTATCTCTAATCTTACCCTCTTACAACTCCCAACAAGAAATGACTCCATGACAGCGAACATTGTCATGAACACAGGCCCCTAACAATCCCAATCCTCAGGTACAAAGAGCACCTAACTTTTAAAATGTGAGATGGTGATCCTCCTAGAGGGGAGGAGAGAGAAGTGCTACCAAAGAAAAGATTCTTAGCCAAAAAGAGTTGGCTTTAGTTTTCAAACACCTCCCACTCCCTCAAGTAGATAACATGGTGTGAGCTCTGTGGAGCTTCAGCTTAGCTTTGGCTCTGTCCACCCCATGGCCTTGCCCAGACAGAAAATGAACGTGGCAACGATGCTATCCCCTCGTATTTGTTCATCCTCATGTGGAGAATGTTTTTGGAGAATTTTCCTCCAACTGAAAAGCCAAGACCCCAGTAGAAATGCAGGGACTGAGTTCTACAATTTAACCTTTCATTCCTATCCCAACTAGCTTCATTCTGATAAGAAAGGCGATATATTTAAGTGTCAATTCCTGCAAATCATAAGAGGGCCAAAAAAAAAAAAAAAAAAAAAAAAAAAAAAAAAAAATCCATCTTCACCTCTTTGAAGAAAAATGAACCTGCTAAACTTTCAGGACAGATCAAATCTACTACAAAGGAGACTCCCAGGAAAGCCCCGAAACAGGCCACATGGAGCCATATCTTTTTCTAGGGAAGCCTCAAGGATTAGTGAAATCCCAGTGAATCTGCTTCCTGTCCAAGAGGGTGCCTCCTAACTACCAAAAACATGGAGGGAGCACCCTCTAGTGGTAAAACAAGGTAAGAGAATTTCCCACCAAAACTGATGTGCTCTTTCTTCTGCAAACTGGAAAGAAACACAGGTGCAGCTGCCCAGAGTGATAGGTTGAGGAATCATTACCTTCTGCAGGGTTCATGGCTGCATCATGAAGTAATGTTGCCACACACCCGGCCGCACCTGCAAACAAGAAAACAACTGCCACATGTAAGGCCAAGAGGGCGTGACCAACTCATTGAAGTCTCCCACTGAAGGGGAGTGGCTGTGGTACACCACAAGGTAACGTTAGGAGGTAGTCCAAAAGATGGGGACCCACTGCTCCTAAACTCCTGTTTAAGAAGGGAAGTATCTGTTCCCACCAACTTTGTAAGGTCACCAATGCATTCCACATCCATGATAGGAAGGCCAGCTCAGGTCTTATCAATAAAGATCGTTCTGAGAATAAATGCAGCGCCCCAGACAGGAAGTAGATACACTGCTGCCTAGGGATGCCAGCACATCACCTGCCACCAGTGGAGGGAGATACGGGGGCCAGGTGGTCAGATCTCATAGAATCTCACCACAGAATCCCACCTCTGTCCTGCTGCAGAACCCATTTGCAGATCCTAACATTTGTCTATAAAGATCTTTCGTTCAGGTCCTGAACTACTCTACCCCTCACCCTCTCCACACTCAACTTGTTTCCAGCCAGTCCTGAAGCCCTAGGCTGCTATCCTTTCTCTTACTTCCATACAACCTTCTGGTTTCTTCATGCAGTTCCTTGGCCCCACCCCCCATTCACTTTGTCATGAGGCTTTGTCATGTTCTCAACAACACAAACTGCCTCTGGTGAGTTAGGATCCTGAAAAGGTGAGGCGAAAAGCAGGGGCTTCATTAGTATCTTCCTTGGGTGGCTGGCTGGGTCGCCTCCAATCCTGCCCTGAGGAGCAGGACACCATACAACTATGAAACATACACTGGGGTAGTTCAGTGTGTCTCCACGTTACCAGGGCATTAGAAGTTGATGCCAGGGAGATGAGAGGAACAAGTCAAGCTGGTAGGTAAGGGAGGATACTGTAACCCTTTGTTGAGATGCCCCAAAGGAAAAGGCAGGGTTGAAGCGGCCCGTTGTCTGAGAACATCAGGTTTGGAAGTCCCTCCCTTATAATCTGGCCTATCCCAGCCCAAAGCTTCAGCTCCAAACCATGCTGAGACTGGAAAGCACTGACAGCAGCAAAGCCCAAAGAGTTGGGAAAGTGGGGGAACCAGCACAGGAAGGCTCAATACCATTGGCAATATGGCTATTGCCCCCAGGGTGGATTACATCACTCAATGTCTTTTTTAACTTTTCGTAGCAGGCAAAATAAAGGGCGTGGGCAGGCCCTGCGCCTGTTGCTGTGACGTTCAGCCCCCTCATGGGCCTCCATAGGCCCTCCGTTCTTATAATCCTCCAGAGGGCTTCCAACACATTGCGATAGCGGGCAGCTGGGTCAGGCTGTAGACTCTGCATCCGGGTCTGAAATTACAGCAAGGAGAAGCGCAATGTCAGCAATGCCAACTTCTCGCCCTACCTCAACACACTGGGCAGACCTTCTACATGGAGCTGTGCCCATCTGTGAGAGGGATATCTGACATTCAGCTTATTTCCAATCTATAGCTGATCTTTCTTTTAAGCCTTGGACCTTTCTTTTTCTAGTTATCTATGACCTTGAGAGTGGAACACCATTATTTTCCTTGAAAAAATAATACCACCATTTGCTAAGTGTCCTGGTACTCCAAAATCATTCAGAGCCCCAGCAACAAATATCAAGCTTTCAGAAGTTGCTTTTGTGCCTTAATACACTCAAGCTGACAGTTCTTCACAAATGGATTCTAAATTCAAGTATTTACTGTCTATGACATACTTTATGCTTTATACCTAAAGACTGCCCCTGGCTCTGCTTCATGACCACACACTGAGGGGCGGCTAATATTTTGATACTTTTTCAGACTATCTGGCAATGGCGGCTGGGTCTACACCGAGTCTTGGCAGAAGTAGCATTCTTAATAGATGATTTTATTTCTTGGGAAAGAAAGTTTACCCTGAAACTGCAAAGGTGGGAGTGTCTAGCTAGAAACCAATCTAGTCTCCAATCCTGAAGGGCCCTTCCAGATTTCTAATCTAAATTGATTGAATCCCAAAATTGGCATTAGCAAATAAAATCAGTCTCAGTGAAACATAATCCTTGGAATCTCTCTAAAGGATTCAATGATTGGAATAAAAGTGTAGGGTAGACACTTTGTATGATGTTCCTTGACAAAGTTTTGTTGAAATTTGGGAAATTAATCTTATTTGAAACACCTCCCTAAATTAGACCTTTTCTGAAGAGTGTGTCTCCCCAGGAAAATTTCTCTGACCCATCTACTGACCCATTTCAAGGTAAACTAACATGGAAACTAATAGTTAATATAAAATCAATGTCTAAAAAGAAAAACCAATGTCTGGTGCCTGACACACAATAAGCACTTCTGATTTGTCTGTTGAATGAATGAATCTTTTGTCACATAACTGTATCAGCTACAATCACTGGTGAGCCAATGGGAGCAAGTGATGCCCAAGTACAGTTTAAATTTCTGCATCAATCTAATCACTAGATTCTATTTGGAATTAAAAGCTTGAACCTTCGGCCAGGCACAGTGGCTCACACCTGTAATCCCAGCACTTTGAGAGGCTGAGGCAAGCGGATCACCTGAGGTCAGGAGTTCGAGACTAGCCTCGCCAACATGGTGAAACCCCGTCTCTACTAAAAATACAAAAAAATTAGCCGAGCATGGTGGTATGCGCCTATAATCCCAGCTACTCAGGAGGCAGGAGAATCGCTTGAACCTGCAAGGTGGAGGTTGTAGTGGGCCTTCGCTGGTTTGAGCCACTGCACTGCAGCCAGGGTAACAAGAGCAAAACTCCATCTCAAAAAAAAAAAAAGAAAAAAAAGCTTCAACCTTCCTCTTGGCCAATTGGAATCCAAGAGTAATACCTTTCCTCAAGATCATGGGAGGAAAGAAACTAACCAGATGAACAGGTCCCGGTTAGCTGCAAGCAATCCACATTCCTCTGGTTATTTTCTCCTGCCTGCTACCAACAAAAAACCGGAAGCTTAAAAGGTTAGTTACTGGATGGTCAATCAGAAATACTCTATACAGTATCACTTATCACAATTTGACACATTCTTTCCTACTTCCCCCCACAAAACCTCATGTATTTCCAATAAAGGGTTTGTTTACTGATCTTTCACATCACACAAGGCATATAAAATCCATCAGAAGAGTTGTTCATAGAGACTATGGGTCAAATGCTGGCTAGAGCTACTAATAAGCAAAGATAAATTGAGCCTCTTGGCTTATCGTGTTTCCATGCATTTATTCAAAGCTGATCTTGTACAGGGAGAATGTTCAGAAATTGCATTGCTCTGCCGCAGTCAGTGTATTTGGCTACCAATTCTGAAAGGTTTGGCTTCAGAGGCCTGGAACTCCTCAGCCCCAAGAGAAAACCAGATTGTGGGAAGCTACTTTGAACATTCTATACACACATCTAAGTCTAACTCAACAATTCTAACTCGATAAAAATACACCCTTATGGAGAGGACCTGGGCATAAGCTATGCCAAGTATATAAATATGGCTCCCCAAGTTTGTGGGCCAATAAATCTGCCTTTTACAGAAAGATGAAATATCTAAGTAAGAATTTCTGAAAAATCTCAATATGAAAAACCTCGACCTGGCTTGGAGAAAAGTCAAACAACCCAGTAGAGAGGTAAGTGGTTTGGTAAAAGACAAGCCACATTTGAGTCAAAAAGCCTGAGTCTGAGCCTCAGCTTTGCTAGTTGTATGATCTTGGGTATGTCACTTAACCTCTCTAAGCTTCAAAATTGTCATCTATAACAACAGGCCAAGAATGACTGGCTCATAGGGCTGTTGTGGGGATTAAAAGAGATAAGGTATGTAAAAGCCATTGGTAATTTATAAGGTGCTAGAAATATAAAGATCTTTATTGTATTCAAAATGATTCTAAGATATATTTGTCCATATCTAAGAATTTACAGATCATGGTAGCATTGCCTCCTGTATAAGTCATTTCACAAATATACATGGGCAACTAACTGTCCTTAGCCACTAATAAATTGGGGTTAATTTTGTATTTTTTGTTTTCCTTTTAAAGTTTCTCTGTGGCTATAATGATTTACATGTCCCACTATTAATCTGAAGGTCATTTGTTCAGGGACAAGCTTTACTGTGAAATTCTGTGCCTTGCCTGGTTCTTGTAATCTGCTTTTGGGAAGCTATATGGAAGGCTTGAGAGTCTGATACACTGAGTTCAAATCACAACTGTGCCACTTAAACTCTGTGACCTTGGACCTTATATAACTGTTCCCTAAGCCTCCTTTCAACTGTAAAATAATGAAAATGGTTTCTACTTCATCAAGTTGCTTCACAGATTAAATGAATAAATGTATGTAAGGTACTTCAGATAGTGCTTGGCACACAAGATCACTGAACACTTATTATTAGATGCAAGAAAATCAAATAAGCTAATGTTTCCATTTCCTAACCTTTCACAGGTGAATATGTACAGATACCATTTACATTTGGAAACCGGAGATTTATCTCCCTCTGCTCTTCCCCTCTTTATTATATAAGTGGATATTTGCTTCACCACTTCAGAGCCAACAACAGCAGCTTGATGATAGGTGGGTACTTAGCCAGATGATTTTGAGAAGGGTTCTGACCGTTTTGGGTTGCAGAATCTGTCCCCGTAGATAAAGTCTGGCGCTTGCCTCTGAGGCCCAGAAAAGGAAACTGGGATTTATCTGGGCTCCCAAGCCTCTCCATTATGGCCTTGGAAATAGCTGGTTGAATAACGATGGTCTAGCAAGGCTACACTGACTTCTCATGGTCCCTCTCAAGGATATTAAAAGTCAACTTGACCCTGATAAGTAGCTGAGGATGGACAGGCTTGCATGCTAAGAAGCAATGTCAGCTTTCATTTGCAAACACTATGGTTGCCCTTTAGGCTCCAACAACATGGATACCTGCCTCCAGTCTTAAAGACTGGGCTGCTTTTCCTCCCCACCATCCACTTATTAAAAGAAGAAGGATAACTGCCGGAACAAGCAAACTGGGAAGCCCTTTCTGAAGGAAGGGATTTGAATTTTACTTTCATGCCTGCACAAAAGCATTTAACATACTCACTGACACTAAATCATACTGGCCTCACCTAGTTTTTCCCTCTAAGTCATTTAAATCCCAGCATTAAGTGCAAGTCAAAATGAGCCTTCTAAAATAAGCTTTCGTTATTGTTGACAACTCCTGAGCATTTTTTTCTCAAATCATTATTTCCTTAATGGAGTGCTTTCAAGATATAACTGCAATGTTGTATGACTAATTTTTTAAAAACCAAAATGCCAAAGCTTATGTAAATGAGTAAGAACTGTTCTTCAAAATAGTTACCTTGGAAAGCTACAATTGACTTATTCCAGCAATGCTGTGGTTATGCAAAACCTTTCTGGAACTTCTCTTTCAGAGGTGTTTCCTCAATGGGTTTATAGGCCTCAGAAGTAAAGCAGTCTCCTTGCTTTCAAGTCCCACCTTATTTTGACGCCAAGCAGTATTACCCATTTTGACCTCCCACTTTGTTCACCATATTTGATTCTGAATAGTCTTTGTTCCTGCAAAATCAATTCCATCTTATCACAGGGCAAAGATTTGCCTCCCTTAAGGACATGCACCCAAATATTCTAGAAGCATTTTTAACAGGGATTTATAAAATGTTTATAGCAACAATAGCACTATGTAAATATATGGAGTAAGGAGATAACCTCCCATTATGTTATAATGGAACAGTGGTTAAATTGGTAAGTTACAGTAATATTCTCTAAGATAAATTATTACACTGTATTTTTCAAGCCATTAAATAATTTTCATGGTTTTCTTTTATCTGTTTTCCATTCAATACTCATCCAGAAAAACAGCATCCTAAACCCTGCACTCCACTCATACTGCACTCACTCCCTAGTCTAAGTCTAGGGAGCTAGATTATATTAACTTTTGGATATACGGCATTATTAACTCACAAGTCATTCAACCTAGAGTCTATACATATAATGTATGCATCTTTTTTATTTGTACTTACTCGTTTTACATTTCAATGTCGTTACTTCTCATGGATTTTACTGTTTATTTCTATTTCTCCCAATTGACAAGGGCATTTAACATTCTAATGTCCATTTTAGTCAAGTACATTTACCCCATTTTCAATGGATATGGCCCTTGTTAGGAGTTACCTTGTGCTAAAATACTCCTGCCAGTTTACTGTCATTCACAAAGCTTAATGAGCACTCCCCCCATTTCCTTATCCACATTACTAATGAAAACATGAAACAGTACTGGAATCAGCGGGAGGTAAAAGGGATCTACTTTGCATTTCCCAAGTTGATTTTCTCCTCCTTTTGAATACTTAACACTTTCCTGATTTGACGAGAAAATATAAATCAAAAAGCTGCCAGGTTACTGTTTGACTATTACCCTTAACATGTAAAGGAGGTATCGGTCTCTGTCATATCAACAGTCCCCTCTAGTTTACCTCTCCCTCAATTCAGTCCTCCCCTTTAGTGGCTGCTACCTTTACTAATGCAAGAATAAGAACTGTAAAGAACAATAATCTGTTTCTTTCTTCACCCAGCTTTCTTCAGAAGGACCTGACTTCTGTACACATTAATCATCCTGCTTGGTTGTGAATGCAATTATACTTTCACAAGAATCGTGTCCTCTTGTTGATCTCATTCCATTGTCTTCATACTTACATCTACTTTCTAATACCGTCACACTTCCTTTCTAGGCAACTTCTCCCTTTTTGTCAACTTCAGGTGGCCAAAGAAATTGCTATCAGTTTCATCTCTCTTGTTTGGAGGCTGATGTGCTCCCTGCACATACAGTCCTAATCCCAGCTCAATTTTCATGTTCAGGAAATAGGTGGGGTATCATGCTTGCTTCACAGAGAAACTGAAACCTTTTCCTGAATACGATCTTTCCCATATTACTTCCAGTCTGGAACTCTGCATTCTCACTGCACAATGATTTCCAATCACTCATGTGTTAAGATTTAACGTGTAAGTCCTTTATCTAGCTGAAAGATTCCAGATTCGGGTTCCTGCCCCGTCAGTAAAGGAAGATACAGTAAGGAGTTTGTAAAAGCACTAGCCCAGAAAACATCTCAAGCCGTTAGATCCATTTCAGGGTCTGGGTCACGCCAGCTGGCTTCACCTTAATCGAGTTAGTAGCACTTACCTGAGCTTCGGGATACCCCATCCCACCCTATTCCTGTTTAGTCCCAGGTGGGGTCCAGGGCTTTGGCTGACAGATTTTCGATCCTGAGTCCCGATTCAGATTTCACTGACGGTTAGAAATCGGTCCTGGTTCCTGACTGGGATCAATTCCCAGCTGGGACCTTGCTTGAATGGAGTGTCGGTTCGAATCATGTGGTAGTGGCAGGAGCCAGGAAGGAACCCATGTCGGCTCCGGCTCTCAGCCGGGATCCTGGCTGCGGACAAGACCCAGGGGTCGGGTCAGCCCCAGGTATGGTTCGAAGCCCAGTGCAGGTCTCACCTTGACGCAGTCGATGGGGTACATCACGCAGTGCTCCAGGATCCCTGCCACGGCGCCTGCCACCATGTGCGTGGTGACAGTGGCTCCAGCCGGCAGCGCCTCGTAGTCCGGGCCGGAGTCCGGATCTTGACGTACCGGCGGCCTGCAGGCCCCGGCCTCCCCGCCGCCGGCCCCCCGGCCCACGCCCCGCTGCAGCCACCCGTCCAGCAGCGCCGACTCCCCGGGGCTCCGCCCGGGCCCTGCCGCCGGCCCCCCCGCCACACCGCCAGCACCCCGCCCCTCCAACTCCATCCACCCGGGCCAGCTGCGGCGCCCACCCCCGCCGCCGCTGCCACCAGTGCCGCCGCCGCCCCCCGGCCCCGTAGTGTCCGCCTCAGGCGCGGCCCAGAGAGCCCGGGGCCTCCGGCTCCCGCTTGGCCCCGCGGACACGCCCCCCAACCAACCATTGGTGCAGACCCCGAGTTAGACCCACCCCTTTCCTGACGTGAGAAATATCAGTCGGTAGTATTAGCGAAGTCGCCTGTCATTCCTCCGCCCTGAGGCGTTGCTAGCGCCTAAATCCCACCCCTTCCCCTTTGATCTTGGAAGCTTCTTGTTTATTGGCCACTGATTGGCCGACATGTGCGATCAACCCGCCTCTGACTTTTTAGAAGGGCGGGAGAAACTTAAGGCTGAACTTTGATAGGCTCAACCACTCTTGATACTTTGACCGCGGCCATTGGCCCGCACCACGTCGGTCCCCGATTGGCTATAGAAAGACCGAAGCGCCCAGGGACTCTAGGGGCCGACTTCGGGCCCCTCACTGGCGCACGCAGAGCTGCGGTCCCAGTGCGCGGGATCGCGTCGGGGGCGGGGCGGTGACAGGCCTTCAACGTCAAACTGCTGACGGGCACCGTTACGACCAGCGCTCGAGTGCGCTCCTCAAATTCTGAGACGCGTGGCTGGAGAGCGGGCGGCCCTGGCCCCGGAGAGCCGTGTTCCCGCGGGATCTCGTCGCGGGCATGAGGCAGAGCCGGCCTGGACCGGTCATCCTCTGGCTGGCGCGACCCGCAGCCTGTCCGGGAAGCCGTTGCGACATGCGGGCCGGGAACCGCCTCACAGCCAGGGGGGGACCGCGGCGGCCCGCTAGACTCTTGTCGGGTCTGGAGTGGGCCCTGGGGCCGGACCCGGTGCTTCTCAGGCCCCAGCGCCCGGCACTGAGCCTCGCATCCACGGTCGCACAGTAAACCCAGCAAGTGTTGAATGAATGAGGTCCCCCGGGCCCCGGCTGTCACTGGGCTCTGCGCCAGGCCGAGAGCCGAAGGCGGGGAAGGAAGATGTCGAAATGGGCGGGATGATTCAGAGATGACGGCCCGTGGCGAGGCGGGGCTGGAGGCCGCATCCCAAAGGCAGCAGGAAAGTGCGGCGGCTGTGGGGAAGCTCGGACGCACTGCCCGGCCCAGTCTGAAGCATCAGCATCTTGTTCCTGAGCCGGCGCGCTGATGGGCCCCCCGCCTGGCGATGAGGGTCTCTGCCTCCCTCGGGTCAGCCCGGGTCCTGAGAAGCAAGGCCAGCGATTCCTGGCCTTAGGACCTCCTGCGCTAGGGAGCACGGGCGCCTTCCGTTTGCCTTCCCTGAGCGTGTTGGCACAAGCCGCCCGCGGTTTCCAGCTCTGTCTTCTCTGTTTTACCCAGATGATGCAACTGTGGACTTCTTCATCTGTTTATAGCCTTTCCTTGGATAGGAAAGATGTTTTCCTTTTTTTCTTTCTAAAGTTTAGCCCTTCTCTGGGCTTCCTTTTTAAAAACTTTTTGTACTCTTAAGCGGTCGTTGTTAACCGTTGGGTCGCGACCGTTTGGAAAATAATAAACCTACGAATTCTCTTCTCCTACTTCTACCTCCCATCCCCTCTCTGCACCCAAAATTTTGCATATAATTTCTGCATTTCAGAGTCCCTGAAGGTGCCATGTGGACACCCTAGGGGGTCCATTAACCTAGTTAACCTCTCCCTGGCCGGCGCAGTGGCTCACACCTGTAACCCCAACACTTTGAGAGGCCGAGGTGCGACGATTGCTTGAGCTCAGGAGTTTGAGACCAGCCTGGACAACATGGCAAAACCCCGTCTCTACAAAATAATAATAAATACAAAAAAGTACAAAAATCCAAAAATTAGGTGGGTATGGTGGCGTGCACCTGTAGTCTCAGCTACGTGGGGGAGGATTGCTTGCACCAGGGAGGCCGAGGCTGCAGTGAGCTGTGTTGACGACACTACACTCCAGCCTGGGTGACAAAGCAGAACTTTGTCTCAAAAACATTTTTTAAAAAGGAAATCCCCCACAGCATGTTCAGTCTCTCCATTTCTCTAGCATATTTAGCTTGAGAAATGAATAGGTCTACCAAAAACCCATTCAATCCTGCTAGAGTACTAATTCCCTTTACTGCCAGATTACTCAAGTAATGACCTATCCACCTCTATGTCCTTTCTCTCCTTAAGCTCTTTTCATTTTTCACTCTCATTCATTGGTCATAAATGACCTTTCCAAATCCAATGGTCTTTTTCTATTCTGGTTTTTCTTAACAGAGATAACACTTGCCCCCACCCCTCACTGGCACTTTTTCCTAGCTTTAGAAACCGCTCTACCTTTTAGACTTCTCAGTCACTTACACTTCTCTAGCCATTAAAGGGGAACATCCCTAAAAGTTTAATGCTTCATGGTCATCTTTAATACCTTAGAGAACTTTGCCATTCCAAACCAGTTGTCCTCATTGGAACCTATCTTTATTTCCCTTATTGCATACTTTTAACTGAAATTTCCATGGGAACATTCAGTAATGTTTATTGAGTACCAACTGTGTACTTGAAGCTGCGGATACAGGACAGACAGAGTCCATGTTCTCATGGAGCTTTTTAATGATGGGGGTGGGGAGGTGGGACAGAAAAACACAAAATGTCAGCTCTGGATGCCATGCTGATCTTTGAAATAGGTGGTATCATATAGTGTGACTGGGTGGCTACATTTGTATGGCCGAGGAAGGCCTTTCTGAGGAGATGACATGTATGGTGAGTTCTGAATGACAGGCAGGAGCCAGTCATGACAGACTTGGAGAAGGGCATGCCAGCAGAAGGAACAGTAGGTACAACCACCCTAAAATGAGAACAAGGTTGGTGCATGAGGAACAGAAGGCCAGTGTGGCTGGAGCATGGTGAGTGAGTGGGGAGGGGATACAACATGAGGTTGGAAAGATAAACAAGTGGTGAATATTCACCTTGATTTCTGACTCAGCGTGTCCATTCCAAACTCAGCCTTTCCACTCCCCACCCTAACCCATTCCTCCAAAATGTTCGTTTTCCATGAAAATCTTCACTATTTGCCCAATCAATGAGACTGTAAAGCTGGAGTCTTCCTTGAGTGCCCATTCAGAATCATTATTCTGAACTGTTTCTTCTGTTTATGCTCTCCTTTTCCTCTGTATTGATATACTTTCCCTGAATCTGGTTACATCTGTATTGTCATAACCCCTTGAAAGGTCTGCCTGCCTCGAGGATCCCCTAGCTTCAGGAGTATTTCTATTCTCCTCCTTCCAGGTACATAGTAGGATGTTTTTTCCACCTCCTTGAAGATAGGCATGGCCCTGGGATTTGATTTGGCCAGTGAAATACGAGGGAAGCACAAGAGTCACACATTTCCTCCTCTGCCACATGACTAGTGATTGTTCAAATGGTGGAGGCTCTGTCAGCCTGGGGCTCTGGTGAGGATGACATGAAGCAGAGTTCCCTACTTGCTACCTGCTTGCTCTCAGACAGACTTCAGCATCAGTGAGAAATAAATCTTAGTTGTTTCAAGACACAGAACTTTTAGGATTATTCCACACCATAGCATAAACTAACCCAGTACTTCTGAGACTTTAATGTAATGATAAATGATATTACCTGAAGAATTTGTTAAAATGCAGATTGCAGTTCTGTATGTCTGGGTGGGGTCTAAGATTCTTCCCTCCCTCCCTCCCTCCCTTCCTTCCTCGTTCTCTTCTTTCTTCCTTTCTCCTTCCTTGCTTCCTTCCGTCCTTCATTCCTTCCTTTCCTTCCTTCTTTCTTTCTCTTTCTTCTTTTTCTTTCCCTCCCTCCCTCCCTCCCTCCCTCCCTCCCTCCCTCCCTCTCTCTCTCTCTCTCTCTCTCTCTCTTTCTTTCTTTCTTTCTTTCTTTCTTTCTTTCTTTCTTTCTTTCTTTCTTCTCTCTTTCTCTCTCTTTCTTTCTCTCTTTTCTCTTTTTCTTTCTCTCTCTCTCTCTTTTGTAGACACAGGGTCTTGCTATCTTGCCCAAAATGGCCTTAGAACTCCTGGACTCAAGCAATCCTCTTGTCTCAGCTTCCCGAAGTACTGAGATTACAGGTGTGAGCCACCATGCCTACCTAGATTCTGCATTTTTGACAAGCTCCCGAGTGATGCTGATGCTGCTAGACCTTGGACCACACTTTGAATAGTAAGCACCTAACCTGCACACAAACCCATACACACTGTCGTACATCTCACCAGCGATAAACCTTCCTAAAAAATTATAGTGGTAAGCAGGCCAGGTGCGGTGGCTCATGCTTGTAATCCCAGCACTTTGGGAGACTGAGGCAGGCGGATCACTTGAGGTCAGGAGTTTGAGATCAGTCTAGCCAAGATGGTGAAACTCCATCTCTACTGAAAATACAAAAATCAGCCAGGTGTGGCAGTGTGTGCCTGTAATCCCAGCTACTCAGGAGGGTGAGGTGGGAGAATCACTTGAACCTGGATGCGGAGGTTGCAGTGAGCCAAGATTGTGCCACTGTACTCCAGCCTGGGTGATAAAGTGAGACTCCATCTCGAAGAAGAAAAAAGTAGGCAAGGAACTTCATTGGTGATATTCTTCACAAACCCTCAACAGTTTCCTGCACCTGCAACTCCTCAGGTACTATAGTCATGTTTTCTTGTATTCCAGTGTCCGGAATTTATTCTTTCCGGTGGGTTCTTGGTCTCGCTGGCTTCAAGAACGAAGCTGCGGACCCTTGCAGTGAGTGTTATAGTTCTTAGAGATGGTATGTATGGAGTTTGTTCCTTCAGATGTTCAGATGTGTCCAGAGTTTCTTCCTTCCAGTGGGTTCGTGGTCTCGCTGACTTCAGGAGTGAAGCCGCAGACCTTGGTAGTGAGTGTTACAGCTCTTAAAGGTGGCACGTCCAGAGTTGTTTGTTCCTCCTGGTGGGTTCGTGGTCTCGCTTACTTCAGAAATGAAGCTGCAGACACTTGCGGTGAGTGTTATAGCTCATAAAGGTAGTGTGGACCCAAAGAGTGAGCAGCAGCGAGATTTGTTGTGAAGAGCAAAAGAACAAAACTTCCACAGCCTGGAAGGGGACCTGAGCGGGTTTCCGCTGCTGGCTTGGGTGGCCAGCTTTTATTCCCTTA